CCAGAGACAGGCCCCCCCCCGCCAGCCCCCAGTGCCCCTGGCGGCCGTGGGCAGGTGTGGGAGGGCCGGTGCCTGCTGTGCTGCCCCCAGCGTGGTGCACTGCCTCGTGTCTGTGGTCTTCCAAATGACCATCCTGCGGGACCTGGAGAAGCTGGCCGGCTGGCACCGCATCTCCCTCATCTTCATCCTCAGTGGCATCACGGGCAACCTCGCCAGCGCCATCTTCCTCCCGTACCGGGCAGAGGTAGGGACGTGGGGACGGGACCCTCCGGGCCCAAAGCCGTGGTGCTCCCTGCCCCTGCCCACCCCCAGGTCTGGCAGGAGGACCCAGGGCCCCTCCCATACCAGGCTCAGCAGCAGGTGGACGGCTAAGCTCAGGGCTTAGCGCCCAGACCCTAATCCCGGCCATGGTGGCACTCTTGAGTCAACTGAGGTCCCGCCCCCTGCCTGCTCAGATGTCACCTCCCGGGAGGCCTTGTGCACCGCTTCGGCGCTCCGTGACCCTGCCTGAGACCGTGCCATCTGTCTGTGGGATTGGCGTCTCCAGGCTGAGCCGTGTGACACTGCCACGACTCACCTTAACCCCTCATGGGCGTGCCCTCCCGCCGCATGCTCCCCGGAGCAGGCCTGTCTGTCCAGCAAGCCGCATGGGGCGCGGCCACAGCCGGCCAGCGGCGCCCCGAGAGGGCTGCGGGCTGCTGCTGGCTTTGGGCCGGCAGCTCGCGCTGAGCCCAGCCCCTGAGCCTCGGGGTGCCCGGCTGCGCCCCGCCCCGTCTCCCCAGGTCGGCCCGGCCGGCTCGCAGTTCGGCCTGCTCGCCTGCCTCTTCGTGGAGCTGTTCCAGAGCTGGCAGCTGCTGGAGCGGCCCTGGAAGGCCTTCCTGAACCTGGCGGCCGTGGTGCTCTTCCTGTTCGTGTGCGGCCTGCTGCCCTGGATCGACAACATCGCGCACATCTTCGGCTTCCTCAGCGGCCTGCTGCTGGCTTTCGCCTTCCTGCCCTACATCACCTTCGGCACGAGCGACAAGTACCGCAAGCGCGCCCTCATCCTGGTGTCGCTGCTGGTCTTCGCCGGCCTGTTCTCCTCGCTGGTCCTCTGGCTCTACATCTACCCCATCAACTGGCCCTGGATCGAGTACCTCACCTGCTTCCCCTTCACCGGCCGCTTCTGCGAGAAGTACGAGCTGGACCAGGTGCTGCACTGACCGCCCCCCCCAGGGCCGGGCCAGCGTCGACAAGGGCGGGCTCCCTGGAACTCCTGGGCCACGCTGGGGACACTCAGGGCACCTGCTTCTCCCGGGCCTGGGTCCCAGGCTCTGACGTCGCCCCTCTCTGTGGGGCCCTCCTCTGGGGAGTGGGTTTTTTCCTCTTCCCGGCGTCCTCAGCGGCCGCCTCTGCCAGTGCCTTCTCCCGGCTGTCAGCGTGAGTGGCCGTCGCTAGGGACCCAGCCACCCCGCAGCTGCTCCCAGAACGGGGGTCCCCACCATGGCGCCCATTCCTCTTCTCCCTTCTCTGCCCTGGGAGCCCAGCCTGCCTTCCCCTGTGGCCTTGCGAGCTTGTCCATGCAGGCTCCCAGGTGGTCAGAGGAAGAGCAGAGACCTCCAGGCTGGGGCACCAGGAGTCTCGGCTCGTTTTTGGCAAATGGACAACGGGGGCCCCGCCTCACCCTCCTGGCCCCGTTCAGCAGAGTTCTGCCTCAGGGATTGTCTCCAGTGTTGGGGCCTCCCCCACCCCCACCCCCACGCTCACGGCCTCCCTCCCGCCCAGGCGGGGGCCGCCTCAGGACCTGCTCCCGCTGGGGCGCCTGAGACCCGATCAGGCCTGTTTATTTTTACCAGTTTCTATCATGGTCTTAATTTTTAAAAGTAATGCTAACTTTGTATGGATGACGTCTCCGATGTATTAAATGGTCTTTACAGAAGTCGTGACTTTTAAGCCCAGTCCTCAGGGAGAAGAAAGCTGGGGACTTCCGGGGGTGAGAGGGCCCACGGGACCCGTGACCGTGTGGGCGTGCTCGGAGCCTGCCTGGCATCAGAAGCCAGGCCGGAGCCGCGGGGGACAGCTGCGCTGGCTTCACTCCCCTGGCTTCTCCCGCCGCCACCCGCCCCTGCCTTCGCCTAGGACCTGCCCTGGGGGCAAAGGCGAGGCCTGGCCACTCCGTCCTGCCTGCCACGAGCCCCCTCACTGCACCTGTGCCTCGCCCGCAACCCTCTGCACCCTCCACACCGCACCGCACCGCACCAGGAGCCCCTGGGGGCAAAGCTGTTTTATTTCTGTGGACCCAGGAGCCAGCACAGGGCTTGGGGTCGGGTGGGGGCAGCTGGGAGAGAAGGGGGTCCTGGGGAGGCAGAGGGGACACACGGGGTGCCCATGGGCTGGGGAAGAGGCGCCCAGGGCTGCCACCGCCGACCCTGCACCCTGCGTCCAGGACTAAGGGCAGCGAGTGTGGGCGTGAGCGAGTGGACAGGAAAGGACTGGGCACCTGGGATCCAGCCTGGCCTCAGGCACAGAGGACAGGGCACCCGGCTGTGAGCACGGGGCAGGCGGGAACCCCTCCGGCCACACTCAGCTGGGGCAGAGGAGGGGCCCGGGGGCCAGGCGGGCAGCCCCCTTAGCAACCGCTCTTCCTGCGCAGGCAGGCGTGGCCCCGCACGGAGCACTGGAGCTCAGTGAAGGCGAGGGAGCCCACGGTGACAGCGCACGGGCCCACGGCGCGGAAGCCGAGCCTCTCGTAGAAGGGCACCAGGGCGTCCTCACACATGAGCACCGCCCGGCGCACGGCCCGCTGGCCGCCCAGGTGCTGCAGGTAGCGCCACAGCAGGACGGAGCCCTTGCCCTGCTGCCGGCAGGCGCGGTGCACGGCCAGCACGTGCAGGTGGGCCACGCGGCCCCCGGGCCTGTGCAGCGTCAGCGACTCCTGCGGGTGAGCCAGGCAGCTCCTCTGGCACCTGCTTCCCCCAAGCCATGCAGCCCAGGCCAAGAGCAGGTGACTCCAAGTGCCTCCACTGGGGGCCCCTCTGCACACAAGGAGGACCCCGACTTGGGAGCCACATCCCAGCCCCCTGGGTGAAGCCTAGGAGCCTGGGAGGGACCCAGCAACTCAGCTCCCCGCTCTTGGGGCAAGAAAATCGCAGCCCAGGGCTTATTTCTTCCGGAGCTGCAGCCACGCCCACCCTTACCTGGGTGAGCCTCTCCTTGTCCCAAAGTGAGCCGATGATGAAGGCCACCAGGCGGCCCTCCTGGAACCAGCCCAGGGACAGCTCTGGACACAGGGTGAGGAAGTGCCGGATCTCGTCCAAGTACAGGGGGCAGCTGCCCGAGACGGACATGAAGGCTGTGGCCGGAGGCACGGGGTAGGCGTGGAGGAGGGGGTCAATGTGCCGCCCACCCACCATGCACTGCCCGCTGAGGGTCCACCCAGAAACCGCACCCCTCCCTCTCCAGGGAAGCATGGGAACAGGGCTGCTGCCCCCCGACTTTCTTGAATGCACACACGTGGTCTGACCCTTGGGACCTGGCCTTCAGGACAGGACACCCAAGGGTCTTCTCCCAGGGACAGAAGGGGCCCCTCCCAGAGCTGCTCACCTTCTCGCTCAATCTCAAACACGCCGGCCGCATCCTCTGGGGTGAGGCAGCGGAACTCACTGGCGGGCAGCGTGTGGCGCCGCTGGTGGCCTGGGGACTCCGGGGACCCCGGTGGTGGGTGCAGGGCCTTGGGTTTCAGGGGCTGGGTGCTGAGCGTGGACATCCTGCTGCCTCCCTGGGGTGACCAGGCCTTGGCAGTGACCTCCGGCCCAGGAGGGCCCCCAGCACCTGTCAGAATGGCAATGGCCGTGGGTCCAGTTCTCATCTCCAGAGAAGCAGTGAATCTGGCCTCTTGTAGCCAGAACTGGGGTGGGGTCAGCCCCCAGAGCGATGGGTCCTTCCCAGAAGCCTGGTCCCCGGGGAAGCCTCTAAGCGATGCCTGGCCCGGGCTCTCTCCCCATCTTTGCTCACAGCCCAGAGGGATGCATGTGTGGGGTGGCCCCCGCAAACCTCCAGGCTCTGGTCCCACTGCCCTCTGGGTGCACCTGAGCCCCAAGGGAGAGGGGGAGCGATGAGCAGGCTTCAGCGGAGTCTGGGGCCCCCAGCGCTGCTGCCCAGGGTGGGAGGGGAGGGAGGGCCCCTGAGCCTCCATGGACCACTTCTGATGCGACTGCAGGGCAGGCCAGTGCCCCGGCCCCCGTGCGCCGTCCGTGGGGTCTTACCTGGCCAGAGGGAGACCTCAGTGCCTCAGGCGCAAGATGGAGCTTTCTAGGCAGCCTCAGTCCTACAGAAAAGTGACCCCAAGTCTCTCCTCTTACCCAGCCACAGAGTGGGCCCCTGCCCACACACAGGACTGGGCTGGGGCGGAGGTGGGAGGGCAGTGGGAGGGAGTCAGGCTACAGAGAGCGGGGGACGTAGGCAGGAGCAGTCACGGAGGGCACACAGAACACCTGCCGCTCCCCTACCCCTGCTCATCAGACTGCAGACCCACCCCGGGGGCCTCTCCCAGGGCAGCCTGCAGGTGCACAGTTCTTAAGGCCACTTCAGACGGAAAAAGCCCACGGCTCCCACAATTCCCCATGGTCTAGAAGCTCTCCTTCCCGAAGCCCGAGAGCCACGGGTTGGAGGGGTCACACTATCCAAGACTGGGGGGAGGGGGCCCCTACCTCCTCCCTCCGCAGAGCTGGGGGCCCGTGCTCGGGTGCAGGAGCCGGGAAAATCCAGCCCTGCCGCCTGGGAGACTCCCGCAGCAGGTGTCACCCGGGGAAGCATGTGATGTTGTTCTCTGAGACTTGAATCCCCCCGCCCCCCGCCCCGCCTCCCGAGCCACCAGGCAGGGCGATGCCAGCAGAGCTGGGCAGCCAACGTCAGTGCCGGCGCAAGGAGGCAGATGGGATTACGCGTGGCCGACCGAGGCCCCCGAGCTTGGGAAGAGACAGCACGGGGCTAAGCCTCGGGGATCTGGCTGTAATCCCGGCTCTGTCACCTATTGGCTGGGCACCAGCAACTCAGCCACGGGCCTGGGGGGGTCTAGCCCAGGCATAGCACTCACCTCCCGCGTGACGGCCCCTCCAGGTGGGTGTCAGCCCCTCCGTGTAGGGAAGGGAACTGAGACCCAGACCAAACAGCCTGTCTGAGCCTCCCGGTTGAGCGGGAGAGGCGGACCCAGGCCGGCCGTCTTCACGTCTTCATGTCTTCATGTCTTCACGTCTTCACGGCCGGCGCTCCTGCAGGTCCGCGGGTGGCGTCCCCGAGTCAGGCTCTCCAGGAGTGAAGGGCATCGTGCAGAAGCAGCCCCTCAGCCTGGGGAAGAAACCCCCAAATCTGGCAGGGCCACAGGGCACTGGTGGGGGCGCGGTAGCGGCCTTGCTGTGTGGACAGCCGGGAGCCGGGAGCCGCTGCAAGGGTCGCGGTTGGACAGCCACTGCCCACACGCCTTCCGGCACCCCACGCGCACCTCTGCCCAGAGCACGTGGGAAAATTCCCACATCCGGAAGCGGAGCTCAGTCCCCACCCACCCTGCTCTGCACCATCTGGTCTACCTACCGCAAAAACCAACTCAGCTGAGAAGTTCCTGCGCCACCCGTGTTCCCGCCCCATTCCCCATCCCGCCTTGCCCCCAAGGTCCCAACGGGGCAGCGGCCAGTTTGCAAAACCTGGGCAGTGACTGCTAAAGCTGAGGATAACTGCGCCCCAGAATCCCACAGCTCCCCACAATCCCACTGCTCCATGGACCCGACAGAACCTCAAAGAGCAGGAAGCAACCTGAACGCCCACCCATGGCTCAAGGGCCCCTGGAATGCACAGCCAAGGGGACAGGAAGGCCGAGCCACAGGGCACACACCTGGAGCAGCTGGGGCCTGGGTTCTAGTCACGCTCAGGATCAGGCTGTAGGGGGCACAGAACGCTTCGCTGACCTGGAATGCTTATGGTGGGGGAGGTTGGGGGCGTGCGCCAGGCTGGCCATGTGTCCACTTGTCTGCACAGGTCGTCTCCTTGGAGCTTACTTAAATATTCAGGGGGTTGCTCTTCCAGCATCCCCAAGGCTGCCCACCCACTCCTGGGGTTGTCCCCACCTCTCCAGCCAGCACACTGACCAGGCTCCCCCTTTCCCCTCCACACCCCTGTCCTGCCTTCTCTACCTCTTTCCTTATCAGGCCCATCCCGCCGGTCTTTCCCCTAATCCTTGGCCCTGCCCCATCTGTGCCAGCCCCCTGCAGCAGCTCAGACCCACGTGCCTCCCGGCTGCCAAGCCCCAGACCTTGCTCTCCCCCTGCAGACGCACTTCCAAGATCAGCCAGCAGAGGGCGCAGCGCTCTTGCCCTTGAGCCCACGGCAGGTGCCCCTGACCTTGGGCAGACCCACGAGGGGTCCAGACACCCCCGGCCACTGCAGGCACCCTTTCTCCCCCTCTGTGGGGTCTCCTTCTCCCAGGGCCCTTTATTCTGTCAGAGGATACTCCCAGACCCCCCAAACCTTGGGCTCAGCTGCTGCCTCACTTGCCCGTCATCAGGCACTTCCCAACTCTCCCCCTCTGGAAACCCTGTTCAGGCTTCTGGGGATTGGCTGGGCCTCCTCTGGCCCGTTGGGGGTCCCAGACTTGCTTCAACCTCAAGGGTCTCAGAGAGGTCTCCTGGGTCGCTTCTTGTCGTCTGACTCCTTGGCACCCCCTGGTGGCCAATCACACCTGCTGTGTTAGGACTGCTGACCCGGAGTGGACACCTCTAGACACAGGGCACCTCAGAGGACAAGAGGATGCAGAAGATTGAGCACGGCCAAACTGGGGGTCAAGCCCCCACCCCCGGGCAGGAGAGGGTGAGTGCCGGGGCTCCTCCCCCGGTGAGCAGGAGGGAACAACACACACTGCTGCGAAGGACAGCGCTGAGACAAGAGCATCCGGAAACGAGGGAAAGTAATCAACGGGGAGGCAGAGGGAGGGCGCGGTGGCACAGCAGGTTAAAGCCCTGCCCTGCAGGGCCCGCATCCCATATGGGCACTGGTTCAGGTCCCGGCTGCTCCACTTCCGATCCAGCTCTCTGATATGGCTGGGAAAGCAGTAGCAGATGGCCCAAGTCCTTGGGCCCCTGCACCCATGTGGGAGACCTGAAAGAAGCTCCTGGCGTCTGGCTTCGGATTGGCACAGCTCCGACTGTTGCAACCATTTTGGGAGGGAACCAGAGGATGGAAGACCCCTCTCTCTCTCTCTCTGCCTCTGGCTCTCTGTAACTCTGCCTTTCAAATAATTTTTTTTTTTAAAGAGCAAGGCAGGTGTTTAGGCTGCTGTTAAGAGCCAGTTAAAGCTCCAGTGTCCACCTGGGAGTGCCTGGGTTTGATTCCCGGCTCTGGTGCCAGCCTCCAGCTCATGCACACTCTGGGAGGAGGGGGTGACACGGCTTGAGTGCTTGGACTCCTGTCACTCATGTAGGAGACACAAAGAGGTCCCCAGGCCCGGCCATCGAGGGCATTTGGGAAGTGAACCAGTGGGTGGACTCGCTCGCGCGCTCTCTCTCAAATAAATAAATAAGAGATGTCATTAAAAAACAAAAAAGAGGGGGCAGGCATTCTGGCACAGTGGGCTAAGCCACTGCTTGGGATGCCCACATCTCATATCGGAGCGCCTGGCTCAGTCCCGGCTGTTCTGTTTCCAATCCAGCTCCCTGTTGACTTCTCTGACTTTCAAATAAATAAATAAATAAATCTCAAGACACCCAGTGAAATTTGAATTTCAAATAAACAATGAACACCTTTTAAAATAGAAGTAGATGCATGCAATACTTGGAGCATAATTTTAAAAAATTGGCGTCTACCCAAGAGTTCAGCTTTATATATATACACTCAGGCAGCCTATATTTTGTCTGGCAACCCTGTTTGTGAGGTCTGAGAGAGGGAGTGGCCAGCACAGATGGGGGACAGGGTAGTGAGGGAGCCGGCAGGAGGAGCGGCATCCCATGACGCGGGCACGGGAGGGCGTGCTGAGCTGTGGGCAGGCGGCGGGCCCCGGGCCTGCAAGCCCCTCTAACGTGTGACGCCGCGTGCTGCTCCGATCCCACACGACACTCCCTGCTTCAAACCACCGCTCGCACTCCCGGCTGCACAATGGAATCACCTGGGAGTTTGAGAAATTCCAACACCTGGGTCCCTCCCCGCTGGGGCTCACTTAACGCTCCAGGGCTGAACCTGGGGGCGGAGCAGCTCCCCGCTGAGTAGCAGGTGGACCAGGGCTGAGAACCACCTGGAAGTGCTGTTCTCCAGGCAGCCTTCACGCCACACCTCCCTTCCCTTTCGTGGGCAGAGAAGGGGCCGCAGCCCGCCCTGTGCAGGGGGCATTCAAACCTTTTTAGCTTAGGCAACTTTCTGTGAGTGGAATCTTTGTCTAGCACGTAACACAGATCAAGAGACGCCTGGTCAAAACTGCTGCCATTGCACCAGGACACTGGGGGCCCTGCCCGGGACGAGGCGGGGGACACGTGGGCCCCCCAAGGCCCAGGGTGCAGCCCTTCTGAAGCACCCTGTACCTGCCTTCCCCTCCTGGCCGTGTTCCTGTGTCCCCGGTGCCTGCTGCACCTGTCCTCGGCTGCTCGGAGGGGGATTCTACAGCTCTGCCCAGGCCCAGGACAGGAAGGGACAGGTCTTTGTTTCTTATGCCCTTGCCTGCCTTCAACCTGAGATCACCCACCTGGACAGCTCTGACCCCACCTCTTTGCATAGAAACACCACAGCGGGCCAAGCAAGGAATCCAGCAACATGTGTGTGTGTGAGTGTGAGTGTGTGTGTGTGAGGAAGCTCACTGCAGGGGGCCTGTCTGGCCTTGGACACTGCTAGCCACACCGTGCACCCCCCCCACAGCTCTCCCTCCATCTCCCTCCTGACTCCCCTCCTTCCGTCTGACCCGTAACAGTCAATGTCCCCAAAGCAAACAGGATTTTTAGGGCAGCAAGACTATTCTGTGTGGTTCTGTCAGGGTGGACGCAGGTCACTGCACGCCTGTCCAAACCCATAGGAGACGCAGCACCGAGTGCGCACTGGGCTGGCGCCTTGACACAGCGGGTTAAATTGCTGCCTATGACGCCGGCAGCCCACATGGGCACTGGTTTGAGTCCTGGCTGCTCCACTTCAGATCTGGCTCCCTGCTAATGTGTCTCAGAAGGCAGCAGAGGACGGTCCAAATGCTTGAGCCCCTGCACCCACATAGGGGAGACCCGGAAGAAGCTCCTGGCTGCTGGCTTCCGCCTGGCCCAGCTCCAGCCTTTACAGCCACTTGGGGAGTGAACCAACAGTTGGAAGATCTCTCTCTCTCTCTCTCTCTCTCTCTCTCTCTGTAACTCTCATTTCAAATAAATAAATAAATATCTTAAAAAAAAAAAAAAAGAGTGAGCACCAATACAAGGCATGGGCTGTGGGTGGGTGAGGCCTTGTGTAGCAACAGGAATAAATGGGCCCCTGGAGGGGGTCTTGACTGTGGAGAGGCTGCGCGTGTGCCATGGGTAGGGGGCATCACTTCATTTTTTTCCCCAAACATTGTTTATCTCAAAGGCCAAGTGACAGAAAAGGAGAGACAGAGATGAAGACAGATCTTCCATCCACTGGTTCACTCCCCAATTGTCCACAAAGGGCAGAGCTGGCCTGGGCCAGGAGCCAGGAACTCCATCCAGGTCTCCCACATGGCTGCAGGGGCCCAGGCACTTGGGCCGTCCTCCACTGTTCTCCCAGGCACATTAGCAGGGAGCTGGATCAGAAGCGGAGCAGCTGGGACTCGAACCAGCGCTGCAGTAAGGGATGTGGGCGTGACAAGCAATGGCTTAACCCCCTGTGCTGTAGCTCCACCCCCTACACAGGCAGTGTCCTCCAGGCTTCCCAGAGCTGCCCTCGAACTGGGACTTGCCAGGGTGACGAGCCCTGTTACCGGGAACTGTTTCCATGTTACCGGGAAGTGTTTCCGTACCAACGCGCTCTCCTTCTGCAACGCTCTGATCTGAACCCTTTCGTCTGGGATCCTCCAGTTCCAGACCCACACGCTCCCGGCTCCTCCTGGCACCTCCAGGAGGGAGCCTCTCCCCTTGCTGAGCACCTACCATGTGCTAGACAAAGACACAGCTCCTGTCTTCAAGGCATTGCTGGTCCCACAGGAGAGGGGTGTGCCCGGAAGCGACTGTGATGGCGCAAGCGCGGGGTTGAGACACTC